TAGTATTCCTGGAAGTGCATATTTTTAGAAGAATGACGTCGTGCCTATTTTCTTGAAATCGTTTTCAATCGGTTTTCTTTGCTGTTTTTACTTAAAGTTTACCCCTAAAAAAATAAGTTAATATTTTTTTCGAGCGTTTCGGAAGTAATTTGCCAAAATGGTGTTTGCGTAGCTATTTTTCGAACATCCATCCGAAAACGAAACGAAAATTTCGTTTTTCACGAAAACTTACTTATCATTTTACAGACAATGAATACTATTCGGTATTTTGAATTTTATGATAAGTTTTATAAATCATTCGTACGAGTTGTTTTAACATTTCATAAGTTTCAAAGATAATAAGTACCCCATTACCAATAACATCGACATAATTGACCGTGAGCTTTGGCATATAACAAAAGCAAAATATTTTGATTGAAATATTTTAATTCAGATGTTTTCACATCCTAAGATATAATTCTTTGAAAATATTTTTTGTACTAAGATAATATTTAAAATTCACACCTTTGATATTCACACTTTTAACAAAAGATAAACTTGATTTGAAATAAAATAAAAAATGACCAAGCAAAATTAAGAGAAAACAAGTGGTGTATGGCATCGTGTGTTAAGGCAATTTTTTCTAACATCCCGCACCGTAATTAAATTTTTATGAGAAATAAAAATAATCATCAATGAAAATTATTCAATAGTTAATTTAATAATTCCTTCAAATGTTTTCAAATATACTTACAATACGCAACGAGCGAATTCTACAAACAACTTATGTCTATCTGTATGCTTACAAGATTCTTTTTGAAAATTTAGATTTTTTTTAAATTCTGAAAAGTTTTGATTTTTTTTTAAATTTCCAAATTTTTTAGAATTTTTGAAAAAATAGTTTTATTTGAAATTTTTGAGGAATTTGGAAATTTTTGAAAAAATAATAATTTTTTTTTAATTTATATATCTTTGAAAATTTTGAAAAAAAAAGATTTATTAAAAAAAATTATATGTTTATAACATTTATCAGAACCCAATTAAATGGCACTAAATGTGTACTCATTATTAAAATATCCATAAAATATCTGACTATTTGATATGCCAATATGTTCAATGATTATTTTTGACCACCAAATGAATTTTTTGAACCTTTTTTTTCGACATTTCGAATTTCCGAATGAATTTTCGAATCTTTGTTGGATAAGTCCAAAAATTTAGTCAATTTTTATTCTGTCCATACAAGTAAAATATTTTTTGTATCATTCAAATCAGACGTTTCGTTCTCTCAAAAACAAAATTACCATTTTCCGCACTTTTTGCCCCGTATCTTCGAAGCGGCTGACTTGCCTTCAAAAACTAATCAGTACGTCTCCGCATCAATAGAAATCGAATGTTTTTGGATTATTCAAATCGGTTAATCCGTGTTCTCAAAATCGTATCCCTACAGATATAAAAACGCGCATCCATTTTTCTAAGATATTTTAAAATGTTCGTAATGATATATAAAAACTTCATTTTCGATTCCTTTGCAATTACTATAATTTACCCTCCGGGAAGTAAATAAAAAACATGATTACAAGCAATTTGAAAAATATTGCGAATAATATTTAGTAAAATTAAATTTTATCAGGACATAAATTAAATAATTCAGTGTAAAAGTAATATGTATCTACCTTTTTGGGCGCATTCATCTTATTAAAACGAAAATAATATGTCGTTAATCTTTATATTACGTCACTCAATAAGTCCGTAGGATAATACATAGATGTTTTAGCTATGCAATCATCCATATGATTTGTAGGAAGCAACAACTTTAAGAAGATATATGCCAAAAAATCATGACAATTCGACGATAGTTTACAAGTTATAGAAGTTCAAGTGACGCTACTTTTGAGTTTTTAAAAACCATGAATTCAAAGCAATTTCGTATGTTGATTTATCATTGCTTTTTGATGGGTATAAATACCATCGCAGCCAAAGTGTCGCTTGATAAGTGTTATCTGGACTCTGCCAAATCGAGGCAAATGGTGGAGAAGTGCATTGCTGATTTTATTCGTGGCCGTACATATACTGATGATGCTAAATGATTTAGAAGGTCAATTGAGGTGGTTACACCGGAAAACACAAAACAGTCTATCGAATCGTTTTGGAAAACCGAAAAGTTATACCTAAGTTAGCTGGCATCCTAAAGATATCAATAGTGTTTATTGGACATATCGTTTGCGAATATTTGAATAGGAAAACACTCTGTGCTAAATGGGTGCCATGCGAACTCACATTTGACACAATGAGTTGATGATTCGTAAGAATATTTTGAGCTTTTTAATTGAAATAAAACTAAGTTTTTGCATCAATATGTTACCATTGATGTGACTTGGCTTTATCGCTACACTGCGGAGTCGAATAGATAGTCAGACAGACAGTCATGCAAACGATCAACAGGCAAGGTTATGGCGTCAATTTTTTGGGATTAGACTATCAACAGTGAATATTGAATAACATTCATTATTGGAGCATTTGAAGATCAAAATCGGAAAAACAGCCCCACTTGAAATAGAAAACCGTGCTACTTCATCAGGACAACGCATCAAATCACAAATCCATGAAAACAGTAGTAAAAAAACATGAATTGGGCTCGGAATTGCTTCCTCACTAACTATATTTTTTAGATCTGTTCCCCAGTAATCATATCTTGTTTTGAGATCTCATAAAGATGCTCGATTTGAAGAAATTTTTGCCAAATTATGAGATGATAGCCGAATTTTGTGGCATAGTACTAATCGTACTACAAAAATGATTTCTAAAAGATCAAACTTTGCTATAATTAGTATATAGTTTTCGAGGAAAACTATAATGAATAAAAAAAATAATTTTGCGAAAAAATGTTTTTTCTTAGTTATCCTACGGACTGATTGAGTGAAGTGATAGCACTCCTTTTTTAGTTTATCGCTTTCTTATGATGATATCATTTCCAATCTCTATTTGTGTTTATATTTATTTTTAACATGTGATTCATGAATATCGTGATAGCGATAACTGGTTATTAAGTTTCTTCATTTACGTTAAATCCAAACATCTTTATCAAGCTTTTGAAAACACCTATATTAGCAAATGCCTGCAAATCGCTGCTTATTCTTACTATACGTGCGGTTCTTCATTCTGCGCTCTGATGCCCCGTACTTTCTCGAAAACCTGTGCGTTGTATTCATTTTGTTAATGTTCTTATCTCGTATCTAACGATCAGCTAATTGGCATAACACAACATTGATATTATGTAATGATTTATAAAAATCATTTATATATTATTTTTATGGTACTCAGAATATAAATTGAAAAATAAACTTCTTTAATAGCCTTTATAAATAATTGTAAATGTGTACACACACACACTCATATATATATATATATATATATATATATATATATATATATATATATATATATATATATATATATATATTAAGGTGGTCCTTAATATGATTATTTTTGAATTTCCTTGCTCCCAAGGGCTCAAATGGTTCCAAATTGATAAAAAACAATTCTCTAAAAGTTTTAGCTCTTAATATCAACTATTAGATAGAGCGTAATTCAAACTTCGCATGGAAATAGCATGGAAAAAATTTTGAAAATTTTAAAAAAATTTTAGGTATAACTTAGCGACAGATAAATTAAAGGTGAAAATTCGTGTCATTTTTTATTGAAAATTCAACGTTCTGCAAAATTTTTGAAATTTTTTTCATGCTATTTCCATACAAAATTTTGATTGAATTGCGCTCTAAAAGACTATATTAAGAGCTAAAAATTTCAGAAAATTGTTTTTATCAATTTGGAACCATTTGTGCCCTTGAGAGGAAGAAAATTCGAAAATGACCATATTTAGGACCACCCTAATAAATATATATATATATATATATATATATATATATAAAAGGTCATTGAGCTGTGTTCGATTCAGGGAAGAAAAGTGTGAAAGATTTCCCATCCCAGATTCACACCGCAGTGTCTGAAATGGGCTTATTTTCAATTGGAATTATATTTTTGATCTATATTTTCAAATAAAAATGGACGCTGCTGCTGACCTATGTCAGAAAATGAAAAATGTTTTTTTTTCGCTTTTTCGTGCACTAACAAATATTTTTTTCACCTTATTTCTTATGAGTAACTTAAAAAAGCTCATGTGAAAAGGACCACGATAATTCCTTTTCAATATCTTTTATATTTGAAACATTGAAAAAAGGGGCCAATTTCACGCCGCCAAATGATGAGCTAGAAAGTTGAAAATTGATATAGGATTTTTTCGAAAAGACCTATAATTGTCTATAAATTGTTTGTTAATTTCAAATTCTATTCATTAGTTCTATATAATCTTGATGATCGTAATAAGAAACGGTTTCAAGATGTACGTTATGTTTACTCAATGCCGGAAATTTTTTAATTTGTTACTAATAATCTTCTCTGTAACTAGAGTAATAACATCAATTAGAAATAGAGAGTTGCACACTTCAAAATTACTTTATGATGAGCATTGTATATACGTCCGAGACAAGTGCATGAAATGGTGACATTCTATGGATATTTTAATAAAAAAACTATAACATTATTCATTTATCAGCTTTGCGTTTGGTGTTTTTTAAGTTTTAGATATGAGACTTTTATGAGACTTTTTCTTATTATCTTATATTTTAACTAGTGGCAAGGCATCGTGCCTTAAGGCAAATTGCTGGAACTTTTTAACTTAAAAAGCAATTTTTAAAAAATCTTTAGCAAATTTAGCAAAAATGTTTATTATATATTGGGAAATAAATGTTTGTATCCATACAGAATTTTAACTCAAGTATGCTTAATTAAAAAAGTAGTTCTCATGCTCAGGAGATATTATTATGTATAATATTATGTTGCTGTTACGGATAAAAAATTTGTTTATACTTAATTCTTTAGTAGTGTTTAATATCATAAGTATTATGAAAAATTATTATAATAAAATTGTAATAATAAATAGTTAATCTTTTTTCTTTTAGGTATTCTAACAACTTTATTTGGATGACTTTGTTGAAGGCTAAAACCGGCAGGTGAGGCATTTATGCTCTCTGTATATAATTTAAACCGATTCATTACTAAACTGAACTCAAAATCTAGAAAAAAAAACCAATATTTTTTTTTGCTACTTTTTTATTGATATGTTGACACATCGCATGTTGCCGTTCTATCTTGGTCAAAAACAGGTAAAAATTGTGTGTTCTGGATTAGCAAAGTGTTTCAAAGAAATCACTTGGTTTACTTTGCCTTTTTCTGGATCATCCAACAACGTTTCTTTGTCCAAATTCCGGGAAGTCGCTATTTATTGTTTACCATTCGTACACATTTGCCGATAACGAGGTCACAAGAAAATGTCTTATCCGCTATGTAATCATTGTTTATCATTAAAGTTCTGAAGAAAAAGGGCGCGGAAAATTTCTCTTGTCTACTGGAAAATCGGCGATGCACAGTTCACTGTAACGAACCATTTCCGCGGGATTTTAACAAGGAAATGACGTCAAGCGCATGTAGTAAGGCAAAATACTATCATAGTATGAAATCTGGTCAACAATTTGCTAACATAAAAAAAACTTAAAACTAATAATAAAATGACTTAAAATTGAATAGTTAATTTATGAACGGTAATACTTTTTTTCTTGTTTTTCTATATACTTTGACATATATCAAAACAAATCGTAATTTCAAATCTTTTATACAATGAACAATTTTGAGTGAGCTGGTTTGATGTAACGATATATGAATAACGAGTCTATTCATATATAATAGAGGATGTACTTTTCTTATTTGTTGCATATTATTGTAGAAATTTCAAGTACAACTTTCAGCTCTAAAATTATTGGCATAGATCTGAGCTCTAAACTTATAGGCATAGAAAGCGAAATATGACAAATAAAAATGCACTCATAAAATTGTTAGCTTTTAATCATATCGTTGTTATTAAATATTTTTGGAGCGTGTTTTTTTCGGTACTTTTTTTTAAATTTAATTTTAATTGTTTTTCTTCTTTATATCATGCTTTTTTAGTTTCTATAAGGAGAACTTTATAATTTTTACACAAATTTTGGCTTGCTAATTTTAAGTTTTCCTTGCAGTTCAACACATTCTGAATCATTTGAGACCAAAATTGGAAAATGTTTGTGTGTATGTTACCTAAAGTTGGACCTTTCGTCGGCGTTTTAATTAAATTAATTTTTATTGCGATTTTATAAAACTTTGTATGGCGATAGAGTTCATGGTCGTAATGAACATAGTAAAATAGTAGAGGCCTACTTAAAGGCGTGTGGGTGCACTATAATTAAACACGGATGTAATAAATCTGTTAAAAAATAATCAATTAGAAATAGGATTGGTCAGGTTTTAGTGAGAGCAAAAACATTACACCACTCCCCAGTTTCACACGTTTTCGATCTTACATGGTTTTTGTAAATTACTTATTTTTATCAAAATTTATTAATTTTGTATTATATTTAACATTTTCATTGTCTTACTGCCAAAATACAACACTACAAAATGTATGCTACGGTTACGAATTCTTAGTCTTAGTATTAGTTAATTAGTAGTCTATGTCTATGTATATGTGTTTTATGATCAAAACTAAATTTGATGTGTGTTTAAGCTAGTTTATTTGTAATATTAGAACAAAGAGCATAATTGTTTTTAAAGTTTGTTTTTATATATAATTGATAGAGTAAATTTATCTAAGGTGGGCAAATAACAGAATCGTTTTTTAGAAAATCTTTAATTTATAAAAAAGATATAGTTTGACAATGTCAATAAAACTAGAGAGCAAAAGAAAGTTTCTATCTGTGCAAACTAATTTTAATTTTTAATTAATATTCTTATAATTCATAAAATATATTAGATATTCATTCTGTTAATATTTAATTTTTGTTAAATGTTTTTGTTATTCCTACTACCAAAATCTCCAAAAGGGGCTTTTTTATAGTGATTTTTGATTAACACGATTTTTCTATATAAGGGTGAATATTTGGAGTTACACGGTTTTTAATTTCACGGTTATACGTGTTTTCCGTGAAAAATGGGGGATAAGTGTATTTTGGAAATAAACAGTTGAATAGTTTTTAAGTCGAAATATGCCTTAAGGCTTATAATATCAGCTAAGGCTATAATTATCAGCTTATAATAAATATGCTAATAAACATTTCATAATTAATGTGCTTTCAAGTTTTCAAATTTCAAATTGAAACATTTTTTTATATAATTCCACAATACTTCAGTCATTTGGTAGTTTTTCCGGTAAATATTTTGGAAATTGGTGGTCTTGTAGATTTGGATGTGCTTTTTACGAATTTCAACTTTGTCACCTCTAATTTTTACCGCTGGCGCCGCCATATTGGAAAAAAGGCACAAAAAACATTTTTTTAAACAATGTCTTCTTCCCGCTTTATTTATAATATAAAAATGAATCGCAAAATGTGTTGGTATGGTAAGCGCACAACCCAACAACGCCTGGATCAATTTGGCCAATAATTTTTTTTAAATGCTCGTTGAAGTCCAAGGATGGTTCTTACGGCGAGAAAAAATCGAATAATTGCTGGGAAAAACCTAAAAGACATTCAGAACGGGATGACAGGTAAATTTGTAGGCCGGTAAAATGGTAGATTGATAAATAGGTTGATAGGTAAATTAGTAAACCAATTGGTAAACGGGTAAATTGTTCACCAGTAAATTATTGTACAGGTTAATTGGTAGACATTTTGAACGGGATGCCAGGTAAATTGGAAAGCAAGTAAATTGCTTGACAGGTAAAATGGTGTCGATGGGTAAATAGGTTGACAGGTAAATTGGTAAGCCGGTAAAATGGCAGATTGATTAACAAGTTGGTAGGTAAATTCGTAGGCAAATTGTTGAATAGGTAAATTGTTGAACAGATAGTAGTAACGTTAAACTAAATGTAACAAATACACATCTTTGTTCAACTTCTTAATTTAATCTAAATCACGGCAAAGCGTGAACGGGTACAGCTAGTTTTTCGATAAAAGTATCTTTATACGAATTAAACTAGAGAAAATTTCCTATAAGGAATGTAGAGCGCTTATACTATGTATGGACAGGTTACGTCTTTTTTTATCTATAGGGTGAACTTTTACTATTATCATTTGAGTAAAATACGGTACCAGCTTTTATTCATCCGTCATATGTAGTGCGCGTCGAGCAATTGTTCGCGATATGCGACGATATAGAAGCTAATCGGTGGCTGCGTCATCCTTCGATGAACCACAACTGGTCGAGCCATTGTTTATTAAGGAAAGTGTGTTTATATGCGTTTGACATTGAGCCAAAAAGTATACGCAAATGTCGTATATCACAAGAAAAATGCATACGTTATTGCATCGCAAGGTAGTAATCGGAAGAAGCAATAATAATGTTATTATTACTGCAAACTCATATTTTATACCATTCAACATATACAGGTCGTATTGAATGTAGAAAAGCCTTCGAAATTGGACGTATATATACGTTCAATGAAATTGTTTGAAGGTACGGCTAGATTTGGTAAAAACGAATTTAAGAAAATACTAGTGGTATATGGCATCGTGCCTTAAGGTAAATTGCTGGAACTTCTAGTATCAAAAATTATTTTTTTTAAACTTCAAAAAAAAATTGATTTTTGAGAATTTTGAAATTTTTGAAAGAAGTGACTTGAAAAAACTGTTTTTTTTATATTTTGATTTTTTTTAACTTTTCTTCAAAGTAATCTATAGAAATGTAAACAAAATTTATACCTGCTGTTAAAATCTCTATAAAATATCTGATAATTTGATGTGCATATGTCTAATAATCATTTTTGGCCGCCAAATGTCATTTTATATTACTTTTTTTACTCTATCTCCGAAACCGCTACACCTGCCTTAATCAGTTCTTTATTTTGTCAATACACGTAAAATGTTTTTTAAATTATTAAAATCGGACGCTCTGTTCACATAAAAACAAAATTACCGTTTTGGCACTTTTTGTCCCGTAACTACGAAACATCTGGACCTGCCTTGTCCCAAACTAATCAGCACGTCTCCTTATCAATAGGAATCGAATGTTTTTTGAATCTTTCAAATCAGTTTAAGCATGTTCCCGAAATCGTCGACGAAAATTTGTATCCGAACATACACACACATCAATTTTTTAAGGTGAGCTAAAATGTTCATAAAATATATTAAAAATATTATTTTCGATTCCAACAAGGAAGTTAACAAGCGAGAAAAAATTGTTGGACAAACTTAAATTTTTAGTATATTTTGGTTTTTTATTATTTGGACAGCAATCAGAACTTAAGGTTTCTATAAAAGCTGTTGTGATGATTTGACATAACTAATTACGTCGGTTTTTATAGATAGTTGTTCTATCTCTATGTGATGAATTACAATTTCTAGTAACACTGATGAATTTATATTGGTGCTGCAATGTCGGGTAAAGGATATTTTCACTTGGAAACATTTTGCTATTGATATTTTGAAACCCCATAGTTCTAACTGTTGATCTACGGGTAAGCCCATAATAATGCCCACATAAACTTTCTACGATTTATTTATTTATTTCTTTATTTACGCATAAGCAAGCCGCAATCAATTATAATATATAGAAGATTATTTTACGCTTTTGTCAAGAATTTAGCAATTAAAGTGATTTATAATATACCTAGTGTCTGGACAACGTTCTATTCTAAAATAAAAAGAGCTGAAAGTAAGCATTCGAACATTAATGTTCGTCATAAAGTTTTCCATAATAATGTCTATTTAATCTCTAAAAAAGAATTCTAATAACGCTTCACGTTACGTCTAACAAAATAATCAATGAAAAGCAAACGTCTTAAAAATCAAAGATTACTTTATAAAAACATTCAAACAGTTTTTGAAAAAGTGCACTGATAATAGCAATGTCAATGTTATAATAATTGGTGAAACAACTGAAGACATGTTTTGGCACAATAATTATAAAGTTCCAAATTCCATAATAAAGCAATAAAAATTCGTAACTCATAAGTATTATGTTCAGTATTTTATTATTTTTTATTCAA